CAAGAGTGACAGTGCAATATAATTGTTTGACCCAGGAAGTCAATATCAATGTAGATTAAAATAAACTCTTTGAAAGTGTTTTGAATGTGTGATGCAGCAGAAAAAAAGGAGGATTACAAAGGAGCATACATGATTCCCTGCTATAACAAAATACTGTTAGCAGCAATACGGCACTGGAGATGCCTCTTGGTCAGTTATGTGATATTATTGTGTGCTGTAAGAAGCCATTTGGATGCAAGAATGTCATAGCCTGTCTGAATATGTAATTCTTTTATTTTGTTGTACAAAGTCTTTGGCTAACTTGAATTTCTCCTTTTCTTGTATTGATCTAAAGATGAGGTAACTATGCAACAGTTCAGACAGTTCCTGAAAGTAACTGTTTTCCTTATAGATCTAAATGTCCTGTTGAAGGACTTGAATTCTTCAAATGTTTGGTTTGAAGATTTTCCTCCTAGAGTATTGAGCACTAATCTCCATGATGGACCACTGTGCAAGATTTATCAAGGAGATACTAGGTGACAATCACCTCATTTCATTACAGTCCTCCTCTTTACTGCTAATGGAAGGTCTTGTTTGTAATATTGTTAATGGAAGGAACTATTTGTAGCTCTCTTCAGAGGAAATGAAAACATCCCCCAGGGAACATATACTCATTTGAAATAAATCAATTTGTCTACATTAGTGACAGAGTAAAAACTGACATTTGAGAATTCTGTGCTTTATTATGTTTGTGAGAATTACAAAAGTTGAGAACAAAAACATTGGAATATTGGAACTGCAATTTCATAAGCACAACTTTTGAGACACTGAAGTGTAAAGCAGGCTTTGCATCAGACCTCTCTAAAGTCCAAGACTTGGATCATGGTCACTCAGGCTCAAAGCACACAGAATTCCTAAACAGTGACAAACTCTTGCTACACCAAAAGCAATATTCAACACTGTGTAGGATTTCAAGAGGAGTGATGTCACTTTCTGTACCACGCTCAGTGTCACTAAGCTCTGCTATCTATTATATGCAATCTGTTATCTGTCTATAGGTGGAGAAATCTATTCAACATTTTTTAATGCTCTATTCATCCTGTTTAGTACCATTGAATAATTACCAACATTTTAAGTGATCACACTTCATGGCAACATGAGAGAAATGGTAAGTCTGAGTAACCCGTATTCACATCCATACTCTGCAATGTGAGATTAGAGTGGAATAGAATCACTATGGAATTGCTCTTAAACTACACTGTTAACCCAAGTTATATTATGAAAGCTTTGGTTGTTCTTGATAAGGATGAGTAAGGATGTTTGTCTAAACCGAATTGTTTCGTCATAATTGCCAAATTTCAATCAGTCCTTCAGAAATGACATTCCAAGAAATATTATAGCTCAAGAAAGAAGGAAAGAGCAAAATATTAATTCATGGAGAAGGAAAGAATATGATCAATTTAATTTCTTATTGTATCATATATCAGATGCTGAGAGGCATTAAAACAATAAATACATTGTTTTTCAGATTTGTAGAAAAAAATGAAACCAACAGCAAAATAAGATTCATTTAAAAATATATATTTTTATATATAATATAAGCCTTTGTTTGTATTGTATTACCTCATTATAAACCACAGCTCTTTTAACATTTGTCATTCACCAATCAATCACTATTTTAACCCTGAGCTCAGAGTTCCAGTCATCCCAGTTTGGAAAAATGAAATTTTCCAGTCAAATCTAGAAAACATTTGGTGGTCATTGCTTCGCATCCACTAAAATGTGTCACTCTCACTCAAAAGAAAACTTGAGGAATCAAGTGCTTGCACTATCAAGAAGCCTTTGCTGTTGTAGAACTGAAAAAATAATAAGAATTAAAGATAATCCTTGAAACAATATCAACTTTTCTGATATAAGCTTAATTTCAGTATTATTTTGGAACAAAACATTAAATAGCGTAATATTTTGGTGGTTTCACATTACTGACTGGAATTTTTCAGTTGTGTTTTCCAAACTAGCACAGGAAAAAACAGTCTGACAAATATTTCTTCCAGATTAGTTTGTTAAGCTTCCAGCATCTACTAAGATCTGCAACAATTGAACGTTTTGATGGTTTTACATTCACAGGCCCTAGGTTGCTTTCAAAACACTTTGTATTCCATCTTTCTTTTTAATAGCCAAACCCCAGACAACCCACATCCTCTAAACAAAAGACAATAGGATGTTCTTGCTACGCCCTTTTATATCTTGAGAGGCAAGCTGATTACCCACAGCTGAGCCTCATCACACAGTCAAGCTAATCAGGGATTTGGAACGATGAAACTACAAACTGTAGTTTGTACAGGGTAATAGAGGCTTCTCAAAACCCTTGGTCGAAAATATGTCACATTGTGTTAAACAATAGTTAAACAATAGTTAAACATTTGATACTTAGCTCCCTTAGATGCTTCAACTCATGTTTTTAAATGATTGTATATTATTGTATAGAATTTTAGACTGAAAGTTTTAGATTTTTTCAAACTGTTCTAGTGTAAATTACCTTTTTGTATGGCCTTCACAGTATTTGTGGATGGCAACAGGGGTATTGAATTCTTTTGAAAATCAAAAAATGAAATAAAGGTTATAAAAAGGACTAAAAACTGAGTGTTAGATTGTTGATGTCATTGCAGAAATTGCATGGAGATGTCTGGGATAATTGCAACAATTAATTTCCATTGTCATAATCTGGAATTTGCCTATGGGACAACTGAATACTGGAATAACCTACAACTCAAGTCCATTTTTGAATAATAAGCAGTGATCCCTGATTACCTTTACTATCACCCAAAGTATAATATCTTTACTTTTATAGGTTCATAAACTATTAATGTCTAACTTTTCAAAAGAATCCTATTGAGATATGAAAGTTAGTAATGTACTCATAAAATATGCTTAATGCAGGTCTAAATAACAATAATAAAATAAATTGAGATTCAGTGGGAATATTCTAGTCAGCCTTGTTTCCTGGCTGTGTAAGAGTATATTACTCAGAGTGTGGGGTAGGACTGAGAAAAGTTGGAGATGTTCTGGACTCGGTTACTGCTAATAGAGAAGAAGTGAGAGATATGCAATATTTCAACTTATTAAAAGTTAATGTTCTGTAACACTACTTTCAGCCAATGCAAGACGTTTTACCGAGCAGGAGCTTCATCCCAGACTTGCCAAGCTGAGAAATGATTAGTCTCCAGGCAAGGTGCATTTTTGGCACCGTACCACATGCCACATCCCTCCTCTTCTCTGGGTTCTTGTCTTGTCGGCTCGTTAGAGTGATTGACAGAATATCGCAAGTGGGGATCAGCACAATGCCCCCCCACTTGCCGCAGTGTTGGTACACCGCCTCTCCCAGCATTCCAGCTGCTGTGCAGATGATGGGATATTGATTGCCTACAGGATAATGACTTACCTGCTAATTGAAAGGATGTTCAGGCCCCACAAGGGCCTGCAAAACAGCAAAAAGACTGCATTAAAAGCCCCTTGAGAGAGTATTGTGTTTGTCACCAATGCTGAAGTGAATACTTATGAAAAAGAAAGCTCATCAATGAAAGAAAATTATATTTCTTACATATGTATCAGAAATGTCAATTTTCCGTTTTTACCTGAAAACGTCCTACCAAAACATAGCAGAAAGGTACATTGTATAACATCATCTTTGTCCCATCCTGTTCAAACAAGTGGAGATGACAGGGCACATCAATTCAAACAGCTGAAGCAGATTATGGTTCTTGGACCTGGACTCCTTAGAGCTCATACAGGATGTTCTAGAATAAAAGATAAAAACATTTGTGAGAAATAGGAAGACAGACAAGGAATTCTAAACATTGTTTTGATAAAGTAGTATTATACCAAACCAATGATATCAACAAGGAATGTTTTGTGTCAGTAATATTTAGTGTATATTTCAATGCTTGTATAAATGTATGCTTTTATATACACAGTACATGCATTTAAAACCAGTCTAGTTGCAGCCATCTATCTGGATAAAACATTTGAAAACATTTCAGGAGGGTCTGTGTTTGTGCTTGCACAGAAGCAGAGGAAATAAAAAAAATGATTGCATGTGAGGGAGTCTGTATGAATTTCTTTGTTCAAGCAGTGCTTTGAATGTTCTGTTTTCATTAGACTGCACTTTAGTTACACACACAAAAAAAAAAAACCTTCAGCCAATCTCAGATTCATTACAGGTGCCTGATTCCCAATCAGCTTGATTATCACACCAGGCAGTAGCTGATAATGAAGGATATGGAGGGATGTCAGAACTGATTTGCAATGGAGGACTGTGAAAGCAAAAGGGGCCGGTTCCTGCACATCTCTCTCCTCTCATCTGTCCTTCCACACTCAAACAGCGAGGACAACACATCTGCTTTGGAGTTGGCAGCCTCACAGAGCCCTTTAAACCAAGAGAATCTTCTAAGCCTCCAATTAACTTTTTCGTGAATTCTCCTTCTTTTGTCATGTTTTCTGAAACTGACGCTTCTCAGCTCAATAAAAGAGAAGTGCAGGAACCTAGCTTTTTACCGTCAGATTTGTTTTCCAGGTTTGAAAACCTGAATTTTATTGCAAAAAAGGAGAAAGGAGGGGGTTGTAAATTGTACTGAAAAATAGGGGATATCTAACACTTTCAATTGGCTTTAAAAGACATCTCTGCAGCTTGTAAAACATGAAACAGCTGAAACGTCTGTACTATTGTAGTCTGATTTCCAGCCCTGTAAATATACAGTATAATTGCTCACACAGTACATTTACACAGTAATTGAGAGCTTAAATTAGGGTAAAAACCAGATGACCTGGCAGCCCTTGAGAACTAGGGTCTCATTTAATTTCGCCAGGAACTTTTAATCTTTTATTAAACCAGTTAATTACACTTAGCAATGAGTAATATTGTGAGGTATTACTAGTTATAGCCCTGATGTGTTTGCTTCATGCAGTGTGTTGGATGTATATTAAATCAGTTAATGGAGCATTAAGAAAAAGCACATACTCAATCAGTATTCTACAGGACTGTGCTTTATTTTAGTCTAAGCAGAATATAATTAACTAGAGAACTACAGTTCAGGAACACTACAGGAAAAATCTTTCCAAATCAGAGGGTAAAACAGGCCTTTACCAACACTAGTTCAAATTACATCTCTGTTTCAGGAAAATAAAATTAAAAAATGTTTTTTTTTTCTCCAGGAAATAAAAAAGTATATTTCAATATAATTTAACTCAAAAAGTAAATAAATACAAGATAAATAATTCCTTAATTTAAGACAGTTTCATACAAGTTAAAAACAAAGCTGGGATTGCCTCTTCACATCTGCTTCTGCTGTGAATGCTGACTTGGCATTTTAATAAGTTCTTTTCATTTTTTTCATCATGTTTGCTTTTTGTTTTGAGGCAACGACATGCTAAGGATTAATGTCACATTTTTACAATGCTGCTCAGCTATTTTTAAATACCTGAGCAACGTATAATAACATTTGGTCCATAAAACTGTGACAAGGGGACAATATAGTTCCTTTTTTATGCCTTTCACCTGACTGAAGCAAAGACTGACTTTTGAAATCCTTGCATAAATTGACAGCAGTTTATTCAAAAACAAAATAATATTCTTGTACACACTGTGCTGTCAAAGGAATATCATTGTGTATCCAAACTTGAAGTTAATGTGATGTTTATGTATTGAGACTCTGATTCATCTTTCTTAAGTAAATACATAATATATATTTAAAGAAGATGATGACAAACATGATGATGCTGTGGATTTAAGGCTGACCTCATTTTTTGTTTTGTATTTACTTCAAGTTGGGTGAATAGCTGTGGAGGCCACATCAGCAAAGCACATTAATTCTTGGGATGGATAAAAATGACGATGTTTATAAAAACAATAATGGGTTACAAATAAAAAAACATTCTAAAAAACAAGAGTCAAAATCCATTGTCCATCCTTCATAACATATGTTGCTAATGTTTGGACTTGGATTCAAATCCAATAGCTATTAAGGTACACAGAAGAAAGCTTGATAAGGCAAATAGCAAAATGTGACTCATACAGCATGGCCACTGTACTAACCTTACTGAAGTCATAATTTAAACTCAATGCATAATTTTAAATCCACATGAGCCTTTTTTTCATAATTAAAAAAACTTTGAACAGCCCTGGAAGAGTATCAAATTTTCAAGTGTTACATTGTTGTTTTATGCTTGATCTCTCATTCACAGCAGATACATTGTTTTTAAAATTCTGTCAGTTCATCTTTATATTTTCTCCGTACATTTCTTTTTTTCCTTTCTCTGTTATTTGTACTTTCTGAATCATTGCCAGACCAGATACAGAATACCAAACCCCTTAAACAGACAGGATTTTAAAAGGGAATCCACTGCAATTGTCCTCTGCAATCATTCGTGAGTGAAGGAAACAAAATAAGAACAAGGTAACAGCATTTATCCCAGCTTTGTTTAAAAAAAAGGAAGAAGAACAAAGAAAATCAATCACCACCATAAATATAAAATCATTTAAACATTGGCGCATCAATATACAAGAAATAAAATCATTTTCTCTATTAATGTTTTTTTTGATAAATTATTTCATAGTCTCCTCTTAAACTCAGTGAAATATATTAACTATCTTTTCTTTTATTACTTTTTAGTTTTTTATTGTAGGTCTATAAAGAAGGCTGATAACAGAATTAAAAAATAAGCTATATTATATATACACAAGTACTGAAGTTGGCATAACCTGAAAAGCAGAGGCAGGCTGGTGCACTGGCTGAAGATGTGTTGCTAGATTGGGTACCCAGTTACCCGTCCAAAACTGTAACTTTAGTTTTAATTTGGAAATTACCTGTTGTTATTTTATGTACCACCCAATTTAAAACTACCAGTTAGTAATCAGGTTGGCTTTTCCAGACCTTCTAACCCATGTTGGAGGGATGTGGACTGAGAACTGTGCATTCAGAGACACCTGCCATTTTTCATATTGCTTGCCCTACAGCATACAGTGTACTTTGGAGGTTTTACACTGATTGCGATGCTGCTCTTGCTGATGACAATTTGAGGCACCGAGGCAAATCACAAGGCTCACTGAAGAGTGGCAAAGCTCAGGTTTTCCTGGCTGATTCAAGCCCACCCGATTGCAGCAGTGCTTGGGTCAATCATGCACCACTTCTTAAGTAGTCCAGGCCACTTAAAGGCATCATCGAAAGTCCAGCCAGCGATGGCTGAGACTATAATGCTGAAACTGTGGTCTGAGAGAATGCCTTTCGTGGCCGAGTAAACACACATTACAAAGTAGTCCCTAATCTAGGTACTTGAACAGTGCCCTAAATTTGTTGAGGAGAAAATTTTATTTTATTTTTGTCATTCACGATTACCTTTTACCTCATTACAGTAACTCATCACCCTTTTCACTACACCTTTGAAACATCATAGTGACAATAGCTGGTAGCTCCAAAGCTACCTTTCAGTTAATGGTCCTCATGGGTTTTTTTTGTAATTCTTGTTGTTTTGCCTTGATTTGTAATATTTGACTGTGACTTGATGACACTAATTTCTATTTCTATACTGAAAGCATGTATTTCATCTTAACACTAATTTCACTTTGCAAACCCCTTCTTTAACTTAGTTTGCAGGAAAATACATTTTATCTTTTATAGAGCTTCATAAATTGAGAAGTATTTTATTGAACTTTATAGCAGCTTTGTAGCTGAGTAAAGAGAAGTCTGGTAATCACACAGGCAGCCTTTGGACCAATGGAATATGTGTTGCTGATTAATAAAATATAGTTAATTAGACATGGCCAGTATAAAGATTCACTCTTATTCCCTTTAATGGATTTACAAATACTAAAAATGATGATACTTTTGTTTCCATCCACTAAGTGAACTTAGCTTATGCTAGATTTCCAAGTAACAGTAATACTGTCTAAAAAAATATAACAAGATATTAAGGATGTTATAAATAGTTTTAAAATAATATTAAATACCTGTACCATAACTAGGGTTACTAGGGTAGGATTTGTTTCAGAGATGTTTCAGGTTTTGTTTAGGATGAGGGTTTTTTTAATAACATGCAATTAATCTCCAATAGTGATTGGTTATTATCACATTTATATTACTTTTCTAATACTCTATTACTATATTCCATTTATAAAACATTTGTAAATGTTTATAAACAGCCCCTTGTTACTGAGAAAATGAGGTTCAAGAGCACACCTGTTTCATCCCCACTCACTATGCCTGTATTAATGTGGCTATATTTAAATTGACATCACTGTATGCCACATTTGTAAGCTTTTCAGAGCAGTTCTCCATTAACAGTGCTGGCAACCTGCCTCTGTTTTAAAATTTTGTAATTCTGTAAGAATTGGAACAAATTCTTCAAAAGTCAGATCAGCATTTTTGTATTCTCTCCATCCTATGACTATGTGATGTATAGAATGATAACCTGATGTGAAAAAATGTGAGTTACTGCAGTCCCATGAAGCAAAGCAAGTTACTGGACTACTCTACTGAACTGCAAAGCCTTTCTATTAAAAGAGGTCCAGACACACTCCATCATTCTGGAGAAGATCAATACCTCTGAGGCTGAAAGCTGAAGATGTAACATCTCTGACGTAACACTTTCAGATCACTCTGGTCACCTTTTATACCTTTCGATGAGGTTTTATGTGATTTTACTGTATGTCTGAAGCCCTAGCTGTTTCATCCAGACTTAGAGGGTGCAATGAGATGATTTTCAGAATCTTTCTGGCCCAGCAAATCACCCTTTCTTTTCTGAGGAAACTGAGGTTGGATTTCTGAAAGAGTCACCACTAATCGTGACATCATCGTGCTTATTAACACCCTGAGTATCGGAAGAATTGTGGAGTTTCAGATTAACACCCCCCTTCTCCGCTCCCCACACCCTGCATTTAAAGAACAAAAAACAGTACGAGTTAGTTTCTTGCTTTTCTAGCCCTATTCCTGAATGAACTGGTAAATGTTCTAAATGAAATGTGCTAATGATACTACTGGCAAAATGTCTTATTGTTTGCAAAGTCTTCATTTTACCTCTCTTCCTCCCACCTCAAAGGTTTCTTTAATTAGATTTACACTTTCAGATTTTAACATCATGCCTCCCAGTCCTTGACATTTACTTTCCAGTTTATTCTACATCGAGGTAAAACAGCTTTGAGGAATCATCCTGCAATTCCTGCTCAATCACATTAGAAATTCACATCTTAATCCATATTCCTCTCTTATGCGCAAGATTGTATCTGCAAAGAAACAGTTTTGGTCATGCAATTTATGCAAATGTCACAGCTATTAATACCAAAGTAAAAAATAAGGGGAAAATAATAAAAAAATAAAATAAATAAATGGCATTAATAAAATGGCATTTTGTCCATGCTTTACTCATTAAATGGCAGACCAGAATTTTTGCTTTCTATTTCTTAAGAATTTAACATTATATTTGCATTTGCCCTAAAAACACCTCAGTAATGCTCTGATGTTTTATTGAAACATTCTTTTCATTAAAGAGTCTGGCACATACAACTTAATTCTTGGTCAGTGGTTACTATGATAAAATTACAATTACGGATAATGAGATTCTTAATTATGCGCCTAATTTAGAATGAAGTAAGGGTGACATCACTCTTTAATAAATATGAAACCTTTTAGATTAATAGAATAGACTGCACAGGTTGGCAAGAGCCAAATACTCTTTCAGTAAGACAACAAACTCACTTGACTTGACAGCCTTACAATTTTCCTGAAGGGGGACAGACATTTTCATCTACAATTTTTTAATTTTCAGTCTGCTATTCCATGTATCCCAACATGTAACACTTTTTTTAAATAATTAGCTGGTGTTGCAGTCTGAACAAGTGAATGATGCATGAATTAACAAGTGTTATAATTTCCTAATAGGACAAAGTAAAGATTGCCAGATGCTTTGAATGGCATTTAACAACACCAATACTCATGTAGGCAAAGCAGGAGTAAGCATTCTTAAATACATTTATAAGGCTGGGACCGCTACAAGTGATTTAGTTGATAAGATTGTTTAATGAAAGCTGCCTTCCTTGACATATGTAGCAAAAGTAAACCAGTGACTAAACAAAAACAACCAGTATTTTTAAGCAGTTATCTATGATAACATTTGCACACACTACTTGGGTAATATTCATAACTGGAATATGGGATGCTGGTACATTAAAATGCAGGTTTCTTAACTGAACAGGCGCTTAGACAATTTGTACATAGAAAACAAATTCACTGAGTTGTTATAGCAACTGGGAACATATTCATCAGGCCTGCTTGAAACACTGAGATAAACAAGATAAATTCATTGGCACTTTCTAAAAATGAGGATATGACAGACCTGTGTGGAGAAATAGTGGAGACAAAGTATCACCAAGTGTGCTACAGGGAACATTATTTTTCTCAATTTAATGAATAGTGTCATTTAAGTATCCAAGTATTCCAATTTTTATTGCTCCCTGCTTGTTTTATTTAAAAAAGTGCTACCTAGGCCGTTTATGCACTACTTTATAAGACACTCTACAGAATGTATGAATTTACACTACATCCGGTTTCATATAGCTATGTATTCTAGGTGTTTATATTTCCTGCATTTAGGTAGTATATTTACCTTTAAATTAATTACAAATGCATTATTTCAGTGGGACATCAGAACTCATTGCGTCAGTCATAACTAAAATTCCAATCAAATTAATTTTGCTTAACCATGCCAGTTTTGTCTTTACCTTAAATTTGCCACAACAGCAGCACTTCCTAAAGATCATTTTACCCACTTATGTTTCATCTGTTAATGGACGTCATCTGTTAGCATATTGAAATAGAAAGAAAATGGAGAGCACTCTAATAATTTTCAATCTCTAGCATCCCAGCATGCACGCACTAGACTGCCTCTTTCGGAGTATTTTGCCTTGCATGACCTTGTCCCCTATGGTTACATGTCACTCCAAAAAATCTGAAAAGCAATCACATAATCAAATCTCATACTGTGTTTAAGCCTCAAGAGCAGATCAATGATCTTAGAACCATAGACATCTTCTATTTAGGTGCACAGCAGATCTTGCCCAAATCATACAATAGTGTCTTTTGAGTGACATCCCATAAAATTAAGTATTACACCTGTAAGTGAGCTTTGTAAGCTGCATTTGCACACATGCTGACAGAGATTTACCAGTTCCAGTATGGCTCATTTCCATTGGCTTCTGAAATGGTGTTGATTTGGGAGACAACATTTTTATCATTCTTATAATCCAGTCTCCTCAAAATGGAGATTAAAACCATGCTAAAATTTGGCTGTATGGAAGCTACTGCAGAAATATTTTATAAGGTTTGATGTTCATGATTTCTCGTTAGTAGTTATGAGTCAATAAGACTCATTAGAACACCTTTAACAGACAGCGTATACTTCTTAAATATCTTTTTAAAAAACAAATTACTGTAAATGGTGTTAGTTTGGATCATATCAATTTCCATTTTCTAAAATATATGATCTTGTGTAAAAAAAAATTTTTTTTTACACACACTGATAAATGTCAATGGACACAACTCCATGACTCAGACTCACAGGCACAGCCAAATGGAAACACACCATAGTAGAACAGTGTCCTGGACTAAGATGGTAAAGATCTGCCATTTACAAACACAACCTAGAAGTTTGCAGCAACTATTTGATACCCTGAATACAGCATAAAAACACGGAGAGCTGCACCATACTGGTACAACATTTTTATGTGCAGAGAAGCAGGTATAATAAAAGATAAATTAGATTTTTTTATATTGTCCATAGATATCTTAAACTTAACACTTTCTTTAAAACACTTGATTGCAGCCTATTAAAAACAATCTCATGTCTACCTTCAGAGAACAGTTCTTAACAAATGGTTTTTCAATAATCATAATACCTATCCTCATTTTCATAATGCCTTTATGGCAAACAGCTCTCTTATGCAAATGGTCAATATAATTTGGTGTTCTGAGCCACTAAATCAGATCTGTGGCTCAGTGGAATGCCTATTTCAGGGGCAGACATTGTCCTTAAGGTTCTTAGTGAACTGTGCTCTATGGATAGACTCCTGATGAGTGCAAATAAAGCATTTATTCAAATTGAAATATCATTTTCACTTTTGGAAACTGAAAAGACACAGATAAAACAGTAAGAGGGACATAACACAAGATAGACATCTTTCTTCTGAAGTTACGTGAAGGTTTTCTTGCTGAGTACTGTAATTTTGTATTCCAGACCTCCTTAATTTGAAGAATAACTGTGCTTTACCATTACTTGGTATAGTTTTGTCCATGCTTTACAATACTCTGTGCTTTAACAGATTTTCTACTTTTTGCAATGTTTTTACCACAGGAAAATATTTTTTTTTATAAAGGCTATCTATAACATAAGCTTTTAAAGAGATTGTTGCGCCACATCTCCACACAAAACCTTATACTTATACTTATACCTTATACTTATACTAAAAATTATACTTGGGTTCATAACCCTGTGTACCTTTATACAGACATGTTATTGTTGATAGTATTTTGTGATTTATTAAGAACTACCCCATATATTTCTCCCTTGTCCTTAGATTCAATCCAACTCATTAGACTAATATGGCACTATGCACTCCATCTCAATTCTCCTGGGTTTGAGGCAAAGCAGCTGTTGGACATCACTGCTTGCACAGCTGTTTGATGTGCATCCAGGCAGATGATGGGCCACAGAAAGAGATTCCCTTTTGAAGTGCAGGGTGGGGTCTGATGCAGATTATATTAAGACAAATACTGATAGAAACTTATCAGGCAGAAAAGAGTTAACCAAAATAAAGGGGCCTTAAATTGTTAGTATTAACTAAATAAGAAAGCAACCAATCCAGTTAAATATATATACAGTATATAAATGAGAAAAGATACATTAATCAGAAAAAAATAATTCAAGGCTTTTAGAGGAAAAACATGGCGCAACACTTTCCTTAAGCAGCAATTCAAGTACTTGTTTTAATCAATGTTTTTGTAGCACAATGAATATACACTTCAAGGTGCTGTTTGGGTGCATGGTTGAGCAGTCGTACATTGCTGTGGCAGGTGAGAATGTGTCTGTTTAGCTTTGGAAAGAAGACAAGAGCAGGCTCTGTAGCTATAAGGCAGCAGGTGTCCAATATAAACCAATTGATTTTCTATTACCTCACTAGTGCCATCCCCAAGGCACTGTCAGCATCATGCATTTGTTTCAGCAAAAAAACTAAGGCTGCACATGAGCTTTTTAAAATGCCAGCAGTTTGGTCCTAGGATGTCTTTGAAGGCACCCCTTTAAGAAAGGTGAGGCTTAAGCTTAAACAAAGGGCAGTACTCTTTATGTAGAATTCAAAAAACATAACTACCATTGGTTATTGACATCTGCTTAAACTAAATTCCTACTTCCACTGCTTAATTTTTACAGCTTGTTTCTAGTTCCATCACCCTTTCCAGCTGTATACATAGTTTAACAGTTCAGTGTTGGTGTCCAGTGGCTGCCATGTGAAGTTGGCTGCCCTTCTTTATCTCATTTCTCAGATCGTAAAAAAAAACATGTACTTTTTGGCACTGGGGGCATTTGATAACAAATCAAGCTATCCCACACATGGCTTTTTATGCAACTCATTACTTATAGTGCCGGGTATCATAACTCTTGTCTGCCTGCTGTTTCTTAGTCTAGCCAGCCTCTGTATGTCATTGAATCCTTATTTGAACTAGTTTCTTAATTGTAACCTTTGCAACCTTTTTTCTGCTCAAAAGCTAAAGCTTGTGTTCGTTGAGATATTAACTTAAGCAAGTTAAGGGTACAATTATATAATGCAGCTCAGCTGGAACAACAAAACAGCAGCTGTGTTTGTATCTGTCAAGCGTTGGGGTTTCTCCAGGACTAGGTTTGGGAATGCCTGTTATAGAACATTCTTGGGAAAAATTCAAAAACCTGCTTAAGAGTGTCAGTGATTATAAAAAGCTAAAGTTTGGGGCTAGTGTCCAGACATTCAGATCACTTTATTGTAGTAGTATACTACTAGTATTGCAGTATTTCTATGCCATATCAACTACAGGTACAATTGTAATTTTGTTATAAACTGCTTGAATAATTAATATATTAAATTCCATTTAGTCCATCTATAATGAATCAAGAAAAAAGTTGCAATTTGAAAGTTTTAGTAAAAATAATTTCGCAATAATAGATGTTTTAAAATAATGCTTAGAAGATTCTATTTCTAATGGAATCACTCACTTGTGGATGAAGATGTGTCACATGCTCATATTTCAATTATGTTTTTAACGTATTGATGGAAAAACCACAATTCCATAATACTCATAAGTGGTTTCCATATGTTTGCTGTGTACTTAAAAGATTGGGAAAACATTTCCAGGTTTTTAATTTGGCATTATAGTACTATAGTATTTAAAAAATAAAACAAATGCCACTAATTTTTTTTTCATGCCTCTCAAATTTGGAAATGTAAAAAGCTTTGATCATTATGACCACCATAACAGCTCAAATTTATAGAAATACTTTGGATATTTTCAGTTTAGATTTCAAGCCACATTACAAAATTGACTTCCCAAGGACAATATTTGGCACATTTTGGAAGCATCACTTTGAAAGAATAGAAGTAGATAAAGTGCCTTAAAGGAGCATCTGGCCCCTGTTTTTAACAAACTGTATAATTGTCTCTTTCTTTTAATAAATAGGCATTCAATAATCACCTTGAAAAATTTTGGAAAAATATTATATTAAATATATTAAATAGTAAATGTTTTCAGATTTATATCTAGAACCCTTCAACTTTTTAGACTAAATTGCCTTGTCACCAAGGAAACAAATTTAAATTAAGTTTGTAAATCTGCCTCTTGCCCATAGTCTTAGGCAGTAAAATCTTGTTCTTAGGGATACAGAAATAGTTTCGAAAGCACTTACCCCACCCCCTTTCTTTTTTACAGGTTATTAAGAGGTACTTAGACCTTTTTTTTCCGGATTTTATGAGCTTGATGGGTATAATAGATCAAATTATCATTCTGGAAAAGATTCAACTTTCATCTTGCATTTTGCTAGCATGAGCCAGCATCATACTGTAAAAACAGATAGATATGCTGAGCTCTGAAATTGACAAAACCCTCTGAATCCTGACCAGCAGCCTCATACCACAGCCTAGAAAATCAAAATGGCCACACATAAATGGATCGCTCTGCCTTTGGTAGCCAAAAAATCCTGCTTTTGCTTCATTAAGCCAAGTCTCATGAAAAGTGACAACGGCCAATTTTTGTGTGTTCTTTTGGCAGTTTCATTAGCTATCAAGACACCCCTACATCAGTCCTCAGTCCTTCATCGTTACAGAATCTGTTTAAAAATGATAAGCTTGTGTCTGCATACTTTCTGTAGCAGTGCAAAAAAAAATTAAAACATGTCCATTTCACTTGGTCTCTTCATGTAGATTGTCGCTTGAACACAAGGGCTTTTTGGAAGCCCCCAAAATCCGCACCCTGCCCAGCATAGGCAACATTTGATTTTTTTTTTTCCTTTTTAGGATTTTTTTACACAGTTCCATTTATTTTTGTCAGATAATCGAGATGAAATGTACAATGCCATGAGTAGAAAGTTATCCAGTGGCGTTTTTTTTACACCCTAAACATAAACTCACCGCTAACCAGGACAGCGAAAAAATGTAAAGATACTTTTTCTTTTTAACAGTTGAAGAAATCATAGTTTTAAAAAGGCCAGCAATCTGCAAGTTTAACTTTCTAATCTACTGTTCTAAACTACCTGGTACAGCAAAATGGCTACCAGAACAAATTATTTTCAGTCACTTTCTTTTTGTAGACTTAGGCCACTGGATATTGTTTAAATGACTTTTTAACTACTATTAAATCGTAATACTCGCAGCTACAAGGTAAGAGTTTTTTTTTAAATATTTTTTTAAAAAAGCATTTAGTCCTTTGGTCCCTATTTTCTAAGGAATGATGCGTGTTAATAATCCTGGATTCTCCTCGCCCACATATCCAGTCTTTTCAGGGCTTGTCCTTGGGCCCTGAAACGAGGCATGTCCAAACACCTGTCTAGGCACAAAAACCTAAAAGCCAGCTGGCTAGAGTGTGTCTGTGTATGTCTGTGTGTGTCTGTACTATGTCTGCTTGCACGTGTTTCCAGTATACATGTTTAGAACGGTTTCAAATGTTTCAAAAAAGAGCAGCAAAATCTTGGTCTCAGCAAATCCTCTTCCACATTGCAAAAGCAGAAAAGAAAAAAAAGAGGAGAATTTTGAAAAACAAAAAACAAAAACAAAACTCTAGGCTCCTTTTCTTAGTTGCTCAATCTCTCGGTTTCATTCCCAAATGAACAAGGGACCCCCCTTCTCTCATGATATGTAGCAGAGCAAGAAGTCTTTGTACTGATACTGCACTTGTGGAAGTAAGAGTTTGTGGCCCTTCATCCTGCAAGAGAAAGGAGACAGATTGTTAGAGCACTGCGGGCTCTGCTTAATTAGATGGGTTCAGGTGAACGCAACGACAAAACGACAAAAGAAAAAAATCAAGTTTTAATTAAATAAAACTCAGCAAATGAATGTACTGTGGTTTACCATATGGAACAGACATGTATGTTTAAAAGGTCATTGATATACAAATTCAAACAGGGGTCATTTAAAGCGACTGTATTGTTTTACATCTAAGGTGAGCGGTCCTACTGTAATTCTGCATGATTTTTCAGAGTCCCGGATAAACAGTAGGAGAAGGGTGGGGGGAGGGGAGGAGATTGGACAAAGTATGGAAACACAGGGAGGAACACAAGGTGGAAAATAAAATATAAACAGGAAGAAAGTAACTGGCTGAGTAAAAAGTAAGGACCCTTTTCCACAAACTTTGCAGTGTTTCTTTGCATTACCATTTGTGTTGATATATAGTCAGAAGGATGATGGATTGTAATTTATTATGTTCCCATCACAATGGAAATATTCCATGTAAGAGAGCACATGTCTGGGGAGACTGGTGCGTTGTACTGCTCTGTTCTTGTTCTGTGCTGTTGAAATTGAAATTCATGAAAAGTGATTCACAAAAAATAAAAGATCACAAATTTAAATGCCAAAATTACAGAATTTTGATTTCCAAAAGTTTCTTTATAGAAATGGTGCTTTTTATGTATAGAGCTGGGGGTAAAATGTCAGGCATAGGACATACCTATTTATTCTTGACTAGGAAGACCAGCATGCTTTATAACAGACAATATTATTTAAACAAAGGCAGCATTATTTATTTAAAAAAACATTTGATAATTCTTTAACTACAAATAAAGTCTTAAAAACATTGACTTAACTTAAAATGTATAAACGGTACGTTTAGTCTTACATTCTTTTGCACTGAGAACTGTGAATTTCCATGTAAAATACTGTATAGAGACATGGGTAATTCTACTTTTATTAACCAATCAAGTTTAACATAAATCACATACAATGCAGGTGACGCTTCTAAAGCACTACAGGCTAATTCTTAGTAACCATAATATTCTGAGAAATATAACAAAATGCACAGTGAACCTACAAGATACATGTAAAGGAAATTTAACGTTTCTGTATAAAATCATCTTAAATACAGTCTTAAAGTCATCTGCATTCTTCAGTGGTATACATTTACATTTATTCTGTTGTTTTTCACCTCTCGTCTTCGCTGTTGGGCATTTAATAATCAAATTGACAATCACCAGCACAGCTGTGTAACACTGGTGTCCTTCTCACGCCTACTTTATAACATGTACATGGGCTATACAGGAAATTCAATTTAAAAAGAAGTAGTTTCTTATATTTGAATAAAATGCAAATATAAAACAATAAACAAAATAAGAAAAAACACAGTCGCTTTAAAATAGATCAACTCCAAATTTCCCGAGTTTATTTTTTTTAAAGCAGCACTTTTTTTTTTTGCAAAAACTCAAACAAAAACAAAAAGAAAAATTGTTTTTTTCTGGATGAAATGTAAAGATTTTTTTTTTCAACCACATATATGTTCATTTCATATGGGTATTGATTGAGTTTCCAGTGGTGCATGCTGAGTCACGTTGAGGGGGCATGCTCATTGCAAGTTTTCCAGCAAGTTAAGGCACACACCTGAAGTGGATCTATGAGAGAGACCAATACAAGAGAGGCACAGGAGAGACAGACGAACCCCAATAGACTGGTGCCCTCGCGGCCATCCACAGAGTCCTATATTTAAACTGTGCTTCTAGAGAGACCGGCAGGGCTTTTTGGAGAATGGGGGAAAGTGTTCAATGAGAATAGTGCAGTCTTATCAGGGTTGGCCTGTAGGAACGTAAAAAAGTGTAACTTGCATGAAAAGGACCTTTTTCACCGCAATCCCAATTGAGAGGCAATGAGGTGTTTGTAGACTGCAGTCTTTCCAAATGTACCTTCCACAACCAGAAGACAGAGCTTAGCTTTTGAGTCTGGTTGTAGTGCTCTGGGGGGAAGGCTTATAAAAGGGTATGAAGAGCTGGCATTATTTAAAAGGCTTTTATAACTAGATGGCTTCTTTCTTTTCACCAGTCACAAATAAGGTAAACGTAAGCATTGTGCGGTATAAATTAAAGCAAGAATATATATATATATATTCATATACTTACTTATATACTTTGGTCATACTTGCTACAAAAATAGTCCTGGGTTTATTTAAAAGCTGCACAGAAAACACACTAGGTATTGGTACCTTTGGTAGAAGGAAAATATAAAGAAAAAAATAAGGAAAAGTGGTCCACTCCAAGTGCTTGCTTAATTGTTTTGGAGAGGAATAAAGGTAGTCTATTATATATTCTTATAACATAAAAAATTAGTAGTTTTAAATTCTGCAGTACCTACCAATTAATTGCCCTGCCTTTCTTTCCTTGATCATTTTTGATAATTTTTCCTATAAAATTTTTCCTGCATTTAAAGAAAATTAAGGAAATAGGTCAGTAAAAGCACTTTATATTTATCTGTATATTTAGTGGATGTTTTTATTTAAATTCAAGAGGACTTATGTGCTCAGAAACATAGACAATTTTAACCAACCATTTTCAGAAACAACCTTTTCTTAAGCATTCTATTTTAGCACTGGTTTCATTTGTTGACCAGTAGATTAGAGCATTTTCTCTAGTTTGGTGTTGAAGTAAAAAAAATGATTACAACATTTGAACATCATTTTCACTGCTTTTTGGTCTAGATTTCATTTTCTTTCAAGTGTCAGATGAATACCTAAAATCTGAATCTCTCTGTTATTTGAAGTGTCCTTTAAATTATTTCATAAGCTGCTTTCACAAACCCAAGGCAGTTTTTGATCTGTAGGCCTTGAACTGGAAATTGAAAAAGGTCCTTTTTTGCAAAGAATCAAATTCTTGAGCCAACAAAAGCGGGCATCAGCTCCTTACATAAACAATAATATTAGAACAAATTATAAGAATTGAAAAGGACTTTGTTGGTATATATAAATATATATAGTAAAAAATATCCATACACATTGAATTCCACAAAAATAAAAAACACACAAGGTCACGTTACAACAGCAAGGGTCAAAGTTCACGTCCGATCATGATCAACCAATCAGCACTTCAGATTTACTTACAACAGCTATCAACTACTAAGGCATTAATCAACTGCACTTCACAAATTGCCAAAAAAATATATAGATAAATATATATATAGAAACGAATCGACGTCACGTCATGCAACGCAGTCACAGTCCCGCCACATGACGTCATCCAAAATAAAATGACACCATGGGTTCAACTTACAGGTCTGGGAGTTTGTCCCCCATGACTGGTAGGGTTGCTAGACAACGGGAAGGCCATCTTGAGCTATGATTGGCCCTGCCTGGTTTGCAGGTGGTTGGGTGCAAAAGAAGAAAAGATGTGGTGGGATTTCTTTCCTTTATGTAGGTAATATAATCTGCATTTATCCCTTCCCCAAAAGCCACAGCCTCTTTCCTTACTCAGCTGACAAATCAAATGAAGGTGTTATTATCATCCAATGGAAAACAAGAGGCAAAAGAGGCCAGCTATGGAAATTACTCTGAGCAGCAAGTAAAGACACAGTCTTTCCATTGAATGTTTAGAGGTCTCCTTGCACAGAAAAGCATTACCTTCTTGTTCTCTGTAGTTACCTTTTTGGAAACCAGTCACAATATACTACAAAATATTCCAAAAAAGAAACTAAAAAAACAATTCTGGGTTTCAGTTGCTAATAAGACAGCAAATACCAAATGGAGCAAACAGCTAACCCAACATTATTTTTAACGGCCTGCATAAGTCTAATCCTAATTGACATGGAGGCAGAGAATTTTAATAATTCAAGTCTAATATAATTCTCTATTACTGCAGAAAAAGTAAAGAAGTGAAATATTAATTAACTTCTGCAACCACTTTCTCTTGTCTGGATGACATGGGGGACAGGTCAAAGTAAATGTGATCTGCTTCAGCTTGTCTCTGCAACAAGGTAATCAATCGGTTTTTGTACTCAGTTTACAATGCTTACACATTGAATATTTTAATGGGTACTGAAATATTTTAATAAATAGGCAAACCCAACATACACTATACTACAGAATTAAATGTTCTTAATAGATTCTGCTTATGAAACCACTATGTTCATCAGCTGTAACATTGTGAAACAAAAATAACACCACGAACAATACTATATAAGAAAAATTTTCCCTGTGTCTAGATACAATCCTTTCTGGATTTCTAATCTTAGCAGCCGTCACTGATTTGTTAAAAACTGGCAGAACATTTAGTGCTGGATATAGAGGCTTTAAAAATTATTTTGTAGTAAAACACAAAATGTAAAAAAGTCCTAGGCAAGCAAATATATTGCTATGAATGGAGACCTATAAAGATTCATTCTAAAGTTCTGCAGGAACCGGCTTGCCTCTCTGACTAGAAACTTTATGTTATGTCTGTATAAAGGGACCAGAACTCAATAATTTAGGTTGTTTTTCAAAAGCCAGTTTGGATCAAAAAGATAGATCTGGGAAGCATTAAGACTTTCAAATATGATGAAGACAACAAGAAAAGAGTAAACTTTTAAGTCATCCACACCAACTTCAAAAAACAAAAACTCACATATCAAATCTTATCTTTCTGTATCTTCTTCTCTCAGTTCTCAGAGCTGTCACTTCCAATCCGACATATTATGTCAATTTATTGCAATAAAAATGAACGGTATTTTTTAACATAACCCGTAAGTGACACAAGACCTCATAGCACAATAATTTCCAATTACTCCTTAAGATTCAGTATCTTAAGGTGATCACCTATAAAATAACATAGAAAGTGAGGTCTAGTGGTATTGGCTACAGTACCAGAAAGTATGACAATGACATCTTTTGTTCTGAATGTGCATAAATGCCCTAATTCAAAACTATGCTCTTTAGTCATCAATCACTCAAAACAAGAAGTCTTGTAAGATGTAGAAAACACTTCACGTCTTCTGGACATATTTGAACCCCAACAATACCCAATTCTAAAAACTGGACAGAAGAAGCAAAAAAACTTATTTTATTTACTTACTGAAGGCAACTGTTAAGGCAAAAGAGAGGAGCCTTGATAGGTCTTCTTGGTACTAGACATAACTACAGTATCCTTTACAGTAAAAAACATGATAGGATCAGGTGAAAGAAACATTTTACTTCAAATCATAAACTGGAGAAAAGCGCAGAGATTCATAAAAACTATCCCATCTAGTCCCATAATCTGCTTTCTAGTTGCTCTAAATGTTGTCTAAAGATTGGGAAAACTCAGAAAACACAGGACTCCTCAATGCCCTCAAACCTTACTTTTGTACCTGATCGAAAATAGCTCAGGCTCATATGCTATCTACAGGATGTACTGTATCAGCAGTAACATAGACCATAGGCTGTTGCACCATCCCACCATTCTGTATAGTTTTAAACCTCTCCTAGGAACTAGACCAACCATTATTGTGCCAAATGTAGTTGCCAGAGATGCTCTCTATAAGAAAAGTCCTTCACTTTTGCAGTTGTTGGTTAAATTTGTTTTATAACACAATTTAAAAAAAAGGATTGGATGACAAAAACAGACACTAAAAGGACATACAGTAAACAACAAATAGGACTGAACTGGAGAAAAATGGAATGAACACACTTACAAGCAATTACATTCTTGTCAAACACTGGGCTTTAAAAATGACCGGGAAACCTCAAAACACATTTAGGCTGGCTCCATATCCAGTGAAAAACAAAACTTCCTGTCCATGTCTTTCTGTCATACAATATGTCTTAGGCATGTTGAAATAACTTGTTTTGTAACCCTTGCTGTGTTTTTGGAAGTTCTCCCTATTATGCATCACAGACATGATGCTTTTTAAAGGCCTTGTTTGGTACGAAGAGTATTGTTGGCTACTTAAACAGACTAGGTCATGCCATTTTGTTGAAAGCCATACAAAAAATTTATATTCAGTTCCAGGAATAAAGCTTTTGGGCTTAGAGGCATGGGGAACAGGTCTATTGGTGATGTTTTAAACTCTCAATGGAACTGAGAAATAAAAAATAAAAAATGGGTTTTCAATTTTTTTACATAATAAGTGACATTAAATTATTACATTTATTTATTTATACTGACAGTTAAAACATGAACAGTAGATTTATTTTTAAGTTATACATTATTTTAAATGTCCTTAGATGTCTAAATACATATATAGTACCACTGAAGTTTAATGGTATCACTACTAATACTGGAGTGTACTTTTTAACCTCAGCTATGTTTTAATGTTTAATTTTAATTAACAATGTCAGTGAAACAGTTAATAAAATATGTCATTGTTAACACTCCATATCACAATCATACCTTTAGAGTTAAAATCTGAAATTTAAAACAGGGAATATATTTAGCTTGGAGAATAAAATACTGTGTTTCAAATGCCAACAGAGTTCTAATTTTAGAATACTTCACTTCTTTTCTGCCTAAATTCAGTTACATTAATATGTGTACTGACCTTTATTAAACCAAGATAAAGTCTCACTGAGATTAACGTTTTCAAAGACCTGGCCATAGATTTATTTTCGTATCTATAAATTTAGTGACTGTAAAAACCATGTAGTAGCAAACCTCTCAAAACTCTATATTACTTATACCTTGAGAATACAGATTTATGCTTGCTCACACTCCTACAGCAAATACTGTACAGTACCAGGGCATACAGTACCATCATTTCACTTATTTCTAGCACTAAGGACTATTAGATAGCCCTCATCTAAGATATACCAGTATCTGAGCCCTATTAGTGGTGTTGATACTGTATAATACTAATAATTCAAACATAATGTGAGTATATAGATTTTGAAGTGCTCATTGCTATTGAAAGGGAAGGTTAGCAGTTGAACAATTACCTCCTACACTAGCATTAACACAGCAGTGAAGGTAAATGTTGTGATCATTGACAGCAAACCCAGGTCCTCATAGTATTGTTGAAGAGTCAGCCATTTTAGGTGCCGGTGGTTCATGGCTATAAATTAAACTATAAGGGCCTCTCTGTAGGTGTTCTTTACCGCAGCGCGTCCCTCAGGTTTTGACCCTACCTGGTCTGGATGGAAGAGGGGTCAGTAAGGTCGGTTGGCGTCCTTTGGCCGCTTGAGTTGCACTTTCAGCCTCTTCATGCCTATTTGAAAACCGTTCATAGCCTGGATGGCGGCCTGAGCGCTTGAAGGATTATCAAAGCTGACAAAACCTGAAAGCATAATAAAGTGAAGTGTGAGCTCAATCTTCCCCGATCACAATCCTTGCCACATGTGAAGCACTTCAATGACCCAGTCGATCTGATAATAAAATGATGGTTTGAATGCTTTCAAGAAAAGAACAAATGCTCTTTTCAAAAGTGTTAGCTAAAGGTCATAATAAATAATTACTAAGTGAAATTCATTAAAAGCCAAGCACTTTTTTTTAAATGAACCTATGCGTATTAACATATCTTCTTATAGCAAGATGGTTTAGCTGTATTTTCTGCAGCTGCTTTGTACAGCAACAGAACACTTTTCATAAAGAGTTAGTTGCCATGCTGTCTTAGAGTTAAGCCCCTTTTTCTTTACTCTTGAATAGCAATCAAATATTATGACCATAAGACTAACAAGGTAAACTTTTGTACACTCCGATGTTGTTTGATTGCAGTCTGAATACTTTTGAATTTGAGTATGGTGTAGGCTCAGATACTGTATAACTACAGTACTGTATATAATCCAAAGCTGCAACAAAGGGACCAAGTACAAACAGATGTTTGCAGTTCAGTGTGTAAGGTAATGTAACATGAAGTACTCAATATGGAAAACACATTTGTACATGAAAATATCATTAAAGTAATCCTTGCAAAGTTCAGATGTTGAAGAATGTATTGATTCCAGCATCTGCTGGGATAAGTACTGCATGTGACCTATTGCTCTGGCAGTGATCAGGATGCAAGAATTTTGGAATTTCATGTCTTAAAAAACTGTAATCAGCATTAAAGGTTACAAAAGAGAACTCATGGCATGCAATTATTCTGACGCTAGTTTCGAAAAGAAACACCAATGGTTCTTCTTATAGCTCATTCATATCCAAGCAATTAAATGGTTTTTGGAGGCACAGCAGGACCATAATACTATAGCAGTGTAATTGTGTAAGCCAGAAGACTGCAAAGGTGGAGACAAAGTCTTTCAGCATTTGGGGTTAAAGTGAAATTAGTGCTGCACTTTTCCATTTGGCTCTGTGATGGGCTTGATGGTTGGTGGTGCCGATGGAAAGCCTGGGTCCTGGCTTTAAGTTATTACCTGGGTGTCAGAGCAGATTCAACTAGAGCTTTCCGAGCCACGACCGCCCGCTCTTATCAGACACCTCCGTGATTGATGGCTTGAATTTTCCGCCTGCCAACTGATTTGATCACGGTGCTACGGGTCCAATTTAATTTGGGGGGAGAGGGCAGGCTTTGTCAGCTCCGCAGAGATAAGACTTACGCTTTACAAACCTTTAAACAAACCTGCTGCCGAGAGCTGTCAAACAGCATGAATCCCCCCAGCTCTTGCTTTAATAAATCTTGCGTTTCATTTACATGGCCTCCAAAAGGTTATTGTCAAAAAGAGGTGGAAAAAAAGAGAGAGAAAAATAAAATGCTGCACTATTGCTCAAACTCCGCTCTGCTGGTGCTTTCACCTTCCATGAGCAATTCTGTTGATACAGTCCATTTGTATTGGATAGACACCTTCACAGTTTGAGGGTTACATATTAAAGCACTTTAAAATAAAGTACAGTTAAAAAGGGAATATTAAAACACAAGATACAGAAGGTTAAATCATGTAAATATCACAATTAACTAACCAAATATGCAGCTCAAAGCATTTTGGTTTCATGCTTTTCTTTGTTAGTGCAGTGTTATTTTCTGCATGTGTCTATAAACACAAGAACTATGGTTAGGAAGAGTCCAGGGGATGTCTGTTGCATGCATTGATTCAAGGGACTGTCTTTTCTACAGAACTGTCCCAATTCATTTTTTTATATAGCTCACAGACTTAGCCATCTTGTAGAACTATACTGTAACATTTTACTATGGGTGTAGAGACAAATCATAAAAAAAGCAGGGATCTATTGCAGATTATTGTTTCTGTTTAAATTGGTTTGCAAGTAAAAGAAAAACATCTATTTTTTTTTCTTAAAGCAAGAATTGTTTTATTACCAAAAGTTGCACTTTATTAGCTACTGCTATCCAACGTCACATCTAGATATAATAAGGCAAGTAAAGGAGATTTTAGACTATAGTCTTAATTTATTTACACTGCAGTAGCTGAATAGGTGAACCTTTGAGACAGCATCATATGCTACCTCTGTTTAAGGTTCGCTCGTTCCAGAGAGCAACCAAGAAAGCTGTAATGATGATCACAATGAAAAGTGACAGAGACCTTTCTGACATGAAGTAACCATGTTTGATTGGAACAGTAGTCAAAATGCATTCACCTCAAGGCAAGGAAAAAGTCTTGCAGTGTGTTCAAAATCCAAACGACATTTTGAATGTCGTGAAAATTCAAAACAGCTGTCAGTTCCGTAGCCACTGCTAAACAAGGATGGGGATGTTTGGTGTCCAAATCAGCATAATTTTGATTTAGGTATTATTAGAAGCCACAACCAAAAGGTAAAAGGATAAGCTTTGGGGTTTTTAGCGGACAAAGCTCATAGATGTGACCAAACACAAACCTGTGTCAAGCCTGAGAAGTTAGAAAAAACCCTGAACTCTTCCAGTGTAGAGATGTTGCACCCAGTTTAATGTGATTGTGAGATTATTATAATTTAAAATTCAGACTGCTGTGTCCTGGATCTATTGTAAACATTACTTATGAAATAGCAGCAAGCAAAAAATTACAACAATTGAGGTAAGACAAAAACATGTGAGCATCTCTTCATCTGTTGTTGTTCAAATTTGGTTTGAAAATAATACCAATTATTAGGAAGATTATTTTAGGAAGATAACAGTCGGAGATACTTGTAATCTGTATAGAGATTATTTGAGGATCTGACCAGCATTATTCTATTTATTTTCTGCTGTGCAAAATTCTCTAAGTCTAAAGAAGATAGATATAAATTGAGGACAGGAGTTCTGATCATAAAACTAACAGTGAAAATGAAATTTATACTTTCTGAGAGATCTGACATACTGTAATGGAAACACATGGATGCAAAACAAAACTGGCCCCAGATCCATGTAGAAGCCCAATATGGCTCTATGTTCAGACAGGAAATAAACAATTTCCAGCAAGAAATTTAACAAGGGCATCATTGGCCTTTAACCCCGTTGGGCAAAGAGGCAGCAGGCGTTTATTTCCTCTAATGTACAGGTCAAGGAAACAAGTGGAAGCTGAGGAGATGATATGAGTTCAAATACACAGCAACACAAATTATTTTAAAGTAACTTTTGCTTGTCATTTAATTTATAAATGTATTGTTATTTAATATATGGGATCTAACTATGTGTTGAGGAGAGTAATACTGGTAAGGAGAATTGTAAATACAATTAACTACAGTATACTCTAGAGGTTGACTGGACCACTGGTTTGCTTAATTTTTGGTCAAAGACATTACCCAGCTTTTACAACTGTTTTGTTCTAGTTGAGTACAATTCAAGTCATGAGAGAGCCAACTCTCTAACACCGATAACATTTTCTTTACTTCTTTATTTCTTTGTTGAGTCTACTTAACAATATAGTATGATCAATGGTATCAAAAGCTGCACTAATGTCTGGTATTACCAGAATGAATGTGAAAATAGATTTAACTAAATTAGTAAAACGTAAGGTCACTAATTACACCTACCAGGGCTTTGTTTATTCTGTTCAGAAAATTTAAAACCAAACTAAAATATCCAGAACGATCCAGCTGATTTTTGATGAATAACTTTGTAGCTGATTTTAACTACTTAATCAATATGGGGAATTTGTTGAGGAAGTACCAAAAATGACCAAGAATCTGTGTTGCTATAATGTAAGTTACTTATATATGTGTATATGCTGCTCCTAATTACAAACGACAGAAGTCCTTAGAAGCTAGTATGAAGATCTAGCAAGTGCTTACTGGCAAGCATGAGATTCAGCCTTAATTCTCATTCTTAGTTTCTCACCATTGTAATGACAATTATCAGATCATTATTACTGTCATGTTTCCATGCCAACAGCTGCAATAGCCGATCAAAGCCAATAATCGAGGAGTTCTGAATGTCTTCAGAAACTATAAAGTTCATTTCATATATTGTAAAGAAAATGTACTAAAAAGAAATCCTCCTTTCCAATTGAGTTGAATTAGGTTCATATGTAGTGTGGAGTTTTAAACAAAGTTGACTCTTCTTTATATACAGGATTTAGCCTGAGTAACAACCAGTGTTAAAATTTTAAGATAGATTGAGTGCTAAAACATTACATTAAATTGGGCTTTTCAGAGGCCTCCTTCAATTTAATTTTCTGAGAAGAGGTTAAAAGGTTTTGTTCTTATTCCTACAGTGATACCGCTGAAGTAGGTCATATTATACAGGACAATTTGTTTTTAATTTCTTAATTTATTTTACAAGCACCTTAGGGCAGAGAAAAAAGAGGGATAAAACAAAAATTTAAAAACAGAATTCAAACAATTAGTTTTCAGCCAAGACCTTAATTTCTGGAAGTAAAAATAAGATTGAACTGGGACACAAAGCATCCAGTATATCCTTTCCTCTAACCCCCTATCCAACTCCAAACATTTTCAATTTTCTTTCAAACAACAGTTAAAAATCAATTTGCATGGTGCATCTGTAAATTTAGTTATTGAAAAAAACAAAGATGCAACTTTAATGAAGAATAAATAGGCTCTCATTATTAAAAGAAAATAACAACAGACCCAAGTGTGTTCAATTTTAAGTGTAGCATTAAGGATTTTACTAAAACGAGATAGTCTTTTATTATCAAACTTTGGTTTTCATAAAAAAGAGCTAATTTTATCCTGCAAACAGTCTACATGTTAATGTATAGAAATTTCCAGTTCCCAGTTGATGGTCATCATTTACTTTACACCAGAGCAGTCGCAGGATGAAGCTGTAGACATATTTTGCACTCATGGAGATTCATGAGATTTTTGGTGCTCTTCATGTGTTAGAGAATAAGCAATATAAGTGTTTATCATACAGACAGCCAGTTAACCGGCCCCCTCTACTCTATTTTAAAGAAATGCAATATTAATTTTTAAGCTGAAGGAACTTGTATTGTGTCTTCAGGAGCTGAACTGGGCAGCAACATAAGCAACTGAAACACTTTGTCTAGGCAGTGAGCTTCCAGGCTCATTACCTGACTTTATCACCTGCAAGTGTCACTGAGATGAAAATGTTAATTGTAAATTGATTGGAAGAGGCAGAGAAAAATGAGTCCAGAAATATACAAATTAATTTTTGCCTTACTTATCTGCTTCCTCTCTGACCTGCAAAGGTTTTAATTTATACCGGCTCTGACTTACCGAAGCATTTGCTCTGATTGGTGGCCCTATCCACAAAGACTTTGGCAGAGATGACATTGCCAAATGGCAGAAACATTTGCATGAGCTCAGCATCCCCAAACTCCTGGGGCAGGTGATAAATAAACAGGTTGCAGCCCTCAGGTCCTGGTGAAATATGGAAAAACAAAAAAGAGATACAGACCTAATCTGTTAGTCACACTGAAATCCATAATGTATGCTATACATACTAGAATGGCCTACAATGGACCTTAATCTTTAATTATATAAAGCCATAGACAAAGTTTTTTTCTTGTCTATCTCATGACTTTCAAGCAGAATTCTTGAAGGCCACCAAAAATAAAATCCCCTTAAACCCCCCAGCTGTCTTCAGTTACACCTTGATGTACAGTACCATCTCGTGTTTTGTCTTTCTCAAATTGTTTTAATTTCTAATGGGTGTTTCCTCTTACTTCCTACTGCTAAAAAAAAACAAAATATTTGATTCATTGGCAATTCTGGTGATCCCAAAGAGTATATTGTTACAGGTGTTACAAGAATCTAGACACAATGCAGTAACAGCTAACTAGTCTCAATATATTTTTACTTCCTAGAGCTTCAAACCAAGGGATGTTTACTTAGTTGTCCTGGGTGTGAGACACAGTGATCAGAAGAATCTTCTGGTTTACCCAAGTTAAATAAGTTCTGGGTGAATGATCAAGAGTGTCAGTCCTTGTTCGAGATCATCCAAAAAGATCTGCATTGTAAATAAATATTTGTTAAATCCAGTGTGCCTGATTTACTACTCTTTTCACCAAAACTGTGCCAGAGAATGAAAAATTTACATGCCTCTAACTATACCAACTGCTTGGGTATATTCTTGGCAAAATCCTTACAAGTTGGGGGTTATGATTATTTATTTTAGTCATTGACTAAGCCGCTCATCCAATTCCTGTAATTCTGTAATTTATGTAACCCCCCTCCCCCCCTCATTTGTAACAACATATTTCTGTAAATATGCTGTATTTCTTGCCCAGAAATAGGGAAACCAGAATGCCAAAAACCCATTTGTACACACAGGTTCCCCAGCCCAGAATAGGACCTTGAATCTATGAGGGAGTAGTGCTAATTACCACACCACCCAACAGGAAACAGTACTCAATTAGTATGGCCTGTGTTGCATTGATTGTTGTTGTTGTGATCACAACATTCCATTGAAGAGGAGCATGAATAAAAACTTTCACTAGACATATACTGATTACATTTTTTAGAAATTTACAAACAGCCTGTAAATATTTTTTTTTAAATTTGGAATTCTTAAAAACATGAATGAGCATTTCCATCATTAAAATGCTGAAGTTGATACATATAAATTCTAAACTTTAGCCTAAATTCTAATTTGTGATCCACTGAAGTCCAGGAATCATTTTTATATAGCACAGTTTCTGGTGCTTTTCCTTTTCTGCACTGATGTTCCATCCTTTTTTTATTATTACATAGACTGACAGGCATTAATAAATACTGGAACCAGTAGCTTTTGTTGTGTTTTAATGTCTCTTACTATATAAACAGTTGATGCCATAGCACAGATATACTTCAAAGAAGTAGATATGTTCATATTGATATATCTATAAAATACATGAGCTTTGATGTAATAAAACCTCACAATCAACACTTTTTGGGGACACTTTCCTACCTTCTCTCTGTTGCTGTGGAATGATGGCTGGTTGCTGTGGAAACGCTTGACTGATTGGCGCATAGGCTGTTGGGTAGGCTGCTGTTGCAAGGAAGAAAAACAGTGATTTTCTCATTTGAAGAATATTCCACAGCTGCCCTCAATTTATATTCACCTTATTATCTATTTCTTTCTCAAATAGTTTTTATTTATCAGGGGTGTTTTCCTTTTACTTTCTACTTCTAAAAAAATAAAACGTTTGATTCATTGTAATTTCTCTTGAAAATAATATATTTATGTAAATATGCAGAGGTTTTAATTTTAATTTAAAGCCAGGCTACTAGAAAATATAAATTTTAAAGTTCATTGTGATAATACATTGTGACTTGACTGATAATCATAGCTCATGATTATAACCAAAGACAGATTTGTTTCAGACATTATGATATGAATGACAACTTTAAAAATGAAGAACGTGGTTGAGCTTTCACCAGATGAACTGGACTTATTCAACAGCTCAGAATGGGTTAGCCAATTGGGTATTTAATGAACATAAGTAATGAAGACAAATCTGCAAGTGTGTGTTTGAGACAAATTCTGTCTTTGAGTCTCTGCTGTGTGTATATATTTGTATAATTTGCTCTGGGATTTTAAAGCAACTGTGAATGTCATTCTAATCCATGGTCTTTTGAGTACTAGTATCCAATATGCATGAAGCTGAATACATTTACTAAAAAGCTATGACTCCCCCATGCAAAGTAATATGAAAATAATTCTTTTTTGTATATTATTTTAGACTACTTGGGTGATGTTTAATATACACATTGCTATATTCATGCATCTGTGAGTCAGTATGTAAGTGTGTGTGTAATAAAAATGACCCCGCAAAACCCTACACATAAAATCTGTTTCTAACAGATTTCCCTTTTATGCCTGATAAAACTTATACCTTTAAACACCTGCAGAAAAAATGACTTGGACTTTTTTGAGTGCAAAGAGCAGAGATTCCCGTCATGCTTAATCGTCAAAGCAGAGACGCAAGCTGAGCAAAAAGGTTTAAAGGGATGAAGGGGATGTGTGGAAGAGAGCAAGAAAGCTACAGGAACGTTAGAAGACCTGCATAATGCTGCACACCAGCGTAAGCCTGCTGCAGAGGGTCAGCCACAGTGGGACTTTGTGCTACGGAGAGAAAACAGAAAAGTAGAGGGAGAGAGACAGGAAGAAACAGAATTCTGAGTGAGAGACATGGTCACTTCACACATGGTAAAGGGAGATGGGGGAGTCAGTCCTACTGCAACTGCAGCCATGTGCTTTCATCAATCTGCACTCAAGAAATTGAATTTCCAACTCCCCTTGCAATGAATTAAATTTATGTTAGCTCTTACCATTCATCTCAGGCACCTTTTTTGGAATTCAGAACTCTTTCTCTAAGCAAAGTCACTTCTGTCTGTGCTTTGTATAATGATATTATTTTATTTATTACATTATTATTTATAAACATTACAGAAACACTACAGAAAAGGGGGGGGGAAAGAAATTCATAGCTAAATAAAGGAGACCCACAGAATATACTGTTTTTATCACACTTAAAAAAATCTATAAAAGGGCCTCTGATGTTTGTATTAAATATTTATGTTGTGGCAAACCACTTTGCTGTTTATTATCACTGCAGTCTCTTTTTACAATGGACAAATCACCAGAATTCCCCTTTCAGCTGAGTCGCAGCTGAAGGAAAACTGTAGGAAACTTCACATAAATATCACTTCACGACTTCCACCTCTATAACACCAGAAAATGAGCAAAAAACATTCTCTCAATATGGAGCATACATTTCTAAAAATATCTTTAAGGTGCTGTCATTTTCATAGCCATATTTTAAATAATATTATTTAAATTCAGAATATTAAGAAATAACTACAGACAGACTAAAACAGATTTAATTTAAAAAACTTTCATTCCAATATAAGTCAGACACAAATGGATTTACATTTCTCATACATTACTTTTCAATATTTGAAATACTGAAATATCTGAACTCTATTTAAATGAAAATGGTTCTAAGAAGCATTTCCATAAATTTTAAGTGTATTTCAATATTTTATACGGACATTTTTATTTTGCAACACATGATTGAATATACTTTTGGGAAACTTGAGTTGAATATTTCTCTTTCACTTGGGGAAATCCAAGGAATATAGGTAGAAAGGTCTCTAGAATAGAAGGTTTTGTCCGCAGTCAAAATTTACTCTAGAATAAAAGGTTTTATCTGCAGTCATATGTTTAATTATGGATGCTTATTATGGACATACTGTAGAAGAAATGAACAGCTCATATAATATTCAAAATGTAATTTATTGGGTGGTTCCTGAGTGCCTCAAATACAGTATAGGCCAGGATTTAGAGCGCAACATGACTCTATAGTCCAAATCCATGGCTCAAATCCGATTAACGTCATTCACTGGCCATGCAGATTCTCCAGGACAGGGCTTGCTTCATTAGGCCAGTTTATCCTTGACTTGGTGTGCAATAAAACTGATGTGACCTGCTATAATTATAATTATTCATCGTAACTACATTCTGAGTGACAAAATATGAATAAAGATAAAGGAAGAGCTTGAGTGTACGTTTTTGTTTCTGTTCTAAAGAATCGAGAACACTTGGCAGGTTGCTTAAGTTCTGCATTGGCTACAGACATTCTGCCAAGTCCCCTACCTGGATAAGGGTGAATCCCGTTGGTATAGATGGGCTCGGATGCAGGCTGCCCATTGCTCTGGGGTGGCAGAGTGCTAAAGCCATTGACCCCAATGGGTGTGGCTATGCTAGGCACGGCTGTGGCACTAATGCCTGGAGGAGTGCTGGTGCCTGAAACACAAAATATATCTTAATAATTTTAATAAACTTAATAGTTTAGCAGAGACTGCTTGATTGTAAAAGCAGCACGAGGATTGAATCTAAAGAACATATTAAAAGTTACACATCTAGCTTGTGTGCTTGGTTGCAGATAAATGATACAAGGATCTCTTCCAGCCTTTTTCTTGAAAGATCATCTTTGACAGCATGGCTGGATTGGGGAATTCCAGTGGGTTAATTTCTTTGAGCATTTTAAATACTTGGACTAGTTTCCCTCTTAGTCTTCCTTGTTCAGGACTATAACTAGTCTTTACCTGTTAGTGTAGGATATTATTCTAAGAAAATGAATATATTTTTTGAAATAGTTACCCAAATTGTTCAGAATATTTTAAATGAGCCCTTCCTAATCTTTGCACAATTTGAATAGAATACCCCATGATTTAAATTTGTCACTGATAACTATATAACCTTACATTGTGTTTGTTTTTTAATTGCTTCTAGATTAAATTTCACGTGCCAGGTATTTGCCCAGTCGTGAATTTTATCTAAGCCTTTTTGTGTTTCCTTTGCAGCTTCTACAGTGTGTGCTAATCCTCCTATTGTGGTATCATCTGTGATGTTGGCTGGCCTATGTATGCCACATATAGAAATATATAGATCATTTAGAAAAAGCGCTAGGTTGAGAGCAAGGAATCCTTGTTAAGTAAAAAATAAAAACCTAACCAAAGTGTAGATACTGTATAAAAAAAAGTCTATCTAACCTACAGTTACCGTTCTAACTGTACCAACTGGAGAATTATCAATAACAGTAACTCATCGCTACTCAGGAGGTTGTATATTTTATAAGATGCAAAATGAGTAATGTCTTCCACAACTTTGAATTATCTTAAACAGAATTTTTTGTTTGAAATGGTTTGAAAGAATAAAAATTGACCATTCAATAATATTACTGTTCATATAATTATTGTTGTTATCAATATTCATACTGAAATTTATTTTAGAAAACCTATGATTGCACATCCTTTCTAAATTTCAGCAATTTGATGGTTTATACAGCACAGGCTAACCCTTCTCAGGAGAAAGTAAAAGACCAGTAAGCCTTCTTTTTTTTCTATTTTGGAGGAAGAACTTCTGATTCAGATTCAGGCCTTCAGGGTCTGTCGGTTTAAACTGCTGAACCGAGCCCAACAGGTGTTAATTTCTTGTCTGACTGCACTCACATCCGCTGTTGTTGCTGGCATACCAGTGGAATGTCAGCAGCTCCCTCACATGATCTTGAACACGGTATTCTTTCCATATTTTGTTATTTTCAAAAACTGTTTCAGCATCTGGCGTTTCTCCTTTCACAGTCTTGTTTAAAATCTCCTCATGTCTGTAGGGTTATGCAGACAAGAAAGTGTTGTGTTATGCTGTCTTGTGTAAGAACAGTTAAAAACGTCTGAGAACTAACTATAGGATCTCTCCAACCTTATTCTGCAACAAAAATGTTACAGGCTTTTCTCTGCCATAATGGTGGCTTCTCAACAATTAAATGGAAGAAGTCAATGGATTTTTTTTTGTCTCAAGGGCCAGGGAGGTGCCAACACACCTGAGGAAGGTGTCATGGGAGCTGCCACCAGGCCATTGACGTTGAAAGCTGCCATTTGCTGCATCTGAGCTGCAGCAATCGCTGCCATGGGGTTGAGATAGGAACCCTGGGCTGCTGCCATGAGTGCTGCCTGCTGCTGCATGATCTGCTGTGGAGAGACAACCAAGGCACCATCGCATCTCAATTCACATTCACACCGGCGGGGGTACTGAACGGGCACTGAACTTCAGAATCCAGTTCTGCCTTCTTCCTAATCTTCCCGTCCAAACTGTTTCTCACTGCTGTGTAGCTCAATCTTAAAGTTAAAAAGTGAATGTTTTAAAAACGATTTGGTGCTGAACTACTTGAATATACCTAACAGTTTGACGGTCATGAGACTAAACTCTTTTCTTCTGAACTCTTCTAAAAATCGAGAGAAAAAAAAGAAGGAGCAATTTTAGTATTGCTTTGGGTTTTTGTGAGCTTCTGCAACACAAAAACGTTGAGTTCTTACACTAAATCAAAGCTCTGTTTTCCTGTCTCTCTGAAAGTGTTGCTCTATTATCTCTACAAGTTAAAACATTAATTATAAGGTTTCAGGATATTGATATTTGTCAGTAATAGAATAATTGGCAATAGGTGGAATACATTAACTAATAATTACAAATTACTATAAAGTTAGATTTTAGCTAGTGCAAAAGGTCTTGTGACAAGCATCCAAGCTAGGATAGCTCCCCTTTCAGATTATCAAAAAATGAAATTGCAAGACAATATTTGGAATTTTATTGTAGAAATGAAGAAGTTTTTAGGGGGTTCCTCACCTGCCAAGGAGAAATATCACTTACAGCGTGAGTGTAAGCTCCATAGGCTCCAAACTGAATGGTCATGGGGCTGAATATCCCAAGCTGCCCTGCCATCTGGTGCATTCTCCGCAGAGTCCGCTCCTTGTCTGTGTCTGCAAACTTCACCACCAGGCTTGAGGATGCCCCCTAAAAAAGGCCACAAGCAGCAATCAACACATGGTATGCCCAGGTGAGGTGCAAAAGGATACCAGGCAGAGCAGGCTTTTGCTATATAAATGCAAAAGCTGATGTAAGACAAATGGGCATGTCATGTAATTTCTTAAAACGAATACACAGAAACTGTGATGTGCTATTCATAATAACTGAGGTCACAGAAACAAAAGAGTGCAACTCCCTGCAAATGGTTATAGTGCCGTAAAACTAAACCAAACTTTACAACTAAACCAAAGTAAACAGGAAATAAGCTATTTATTATGGAAGGTTAATGGCACAGGTTTCCTGGCGTCATGGGTTGTTCTGGAAGCACACATTTTAAATTATTAATACACACAGTATGTTCTTACAAGGTGTGTATTAATCATATATTCAACTGGAGACACTAAAAGAATAAATGCTGTACATTTGTAATATCTGTTCCACTTTTGGATGTCTTCCTGGCATTAACTGCTCCTTGCTGCTCCTCTTCTAAGCCCTTAAACCAAGGTCTAACATTGCAATATTGAATTGCATATCAGCTTGCTATATTTCTGCAAGTCTTTCAGGAAAAAACTCATGGGATACTCCTTTCTTCTGTCTGGAAATTAATCTTAAAACATGTTTTATGTTCCATTTTGACCTTAGGATTCATCTGCCTTATAGACAGACAGAGAGAAATGAGACTGGTCAGTTAATGTTGCACTGCCAAGCAGCAGTAACCTTCAGAAGTCAAGATCCAGGGCTGGAAATTTACTAATGGAACTTTCTTAAATTTTTCACAGGCTGCTAGAAGCTCCTGTGAAAAATCTGCTCCACAGATTGTGAATGTCGAACTATTTTAGTTTTGCATTTGGCCAAAAAAGCCATGAAATTGGAATTGGGAAAAATGTTTTTTGTTTTTGTAGAAGTATCAGCTATGTTCTATCTTAGAAAATAAAAAAAATAGAATTACAGTTTGATGCCAAGTCCAAAGGTTCTGCAAGTCTTTGAAAAATAGTTGTTGATATGGACACTGAATTGGTTTCAGATACATTATTTAATACACTTGTTAAGAGGGCATGAACATATTAGCACTATGATTATCTTCTTTCCAGGACTGGAAAATAGGGATTTCAATTAAGATCTGGGCCTGCTGTTGATCTTTCTCCTTACCCTTCTTGTTTATCTGCATGAGAATACACTTGATTTCACATGCATTCATTTACTGAAGAACACCCTGAAGCTTCATGCATACAGAATCCTAAGTGAATAGAGCATGTTAAAAACAAGAAAGACTATTCTGTAAACCATGTGGATTTTAAGTTTGTTGGGTATGTGTTTCCAACAGAATGAGATGATAGTTGTGCAAGTAGAAATCTTCGGATTTCTTTGAATATTTCAATCAACACAATTCAACAATTCAACATCATTCTTGCTTACCTGGTTTTTTTGCATTGTAGGAAACAAAGATAAATGGCTGATTATATTCTCAAATTCACTGGACACTCACCACACATCTAGATTTTTTGTGTGATGAAATTATGTTAGAAACCATTTACACATATTTGATTCACCATTGATGCTGTTAGCAGAGTTTTATTCTAATCTCATTTTCTGAAGCTGCACATATTATTTGTAGGTCCCCCTTTAAACCCCTCAATCAATACTTAGAAGCAGAGTAATGGCACAGTTTCCATGTGTTTTGTTTTCCACCTCATTTGTGACCTTTCTTTGACCTTTCTTTGTTCTTGTCAGAAATGTTTGCGGCCGATGGAATCACTTAGATGTTAACCTGAATGAGGTCATCGCTGAGGAACATCTCTCCCAGCACCCACCTCTGCCTCAGGAGAACAGTTTGGTATTTAGATCACATTCAATTTCTGTGTTTTTACACTTTTATATAACTCCAGCACAGAATTTTGAAGGCCCCAAGGTAACTTAAATGCAATGAGGCGTGCCTGGTGACCCCTGCAGCCTCCCGACTCCACAAACCAACTACTGCCAATGTCAAAGAAATTGACTTTGGAATCAATGTGTTGTAAAGGGGGTTTAGAGATCATTTTTCACTTGAAGATCTAATATTCTTAAAAACAAAAGCATGAGATAATTTGAGTGGCCATGCAAGTATAGATTCACTGGGAATAACAACACCTAAGAATTAAGTGTACTTAAAGGATTATGGAGTGTTTAGTCCAAATTTGACTTCACCTGTTTGTCTGAGGGCTAACCTCCTGGCCAGAGCTCGAGGAGGCTAGGACTCCCATGCAGAGTGAGGAGTGACCAAAGGGCAGCTGCAGAGATGGAGATGGGGTGGAGGTGGAATGCAAAAAGACATGTTTGAAGTAGAGAAGGGATCAGGTACAGTATTTATAGTGTTTCAGTAGAGGAAATGATGTCTAAAGTGATTGTTTATTACGGATAACTGAATAAACCCGGTTGTTGTCATCATTCCTGAACGTTCGTTATAAACTCCACTGACATACTCTGACACCATTTGCTGTAGAAAAAAATTCAACTTTGTCATGAAGCAGGAAAAAAACAAATTCTTCCATACCAAAAATGCTATTTCAAAAGTGGATTAATTCAGGACATATGATTTTTTTTAGAAACAGTAAAAACTTATCAACTGCACATTACAGTTCTGCAGAGATCTGACAAGAATCTCGGCAGATGATTCATATCCAATACTTGGAACGCTTTCAGTGACCCACTACAGAGTAAAGATGCATTATCTGTTTTTGTAATAAAAAAATGAATGAAAATTAAATAAAATTACAACTCCAAAAGCAGAATTCTGTAAATTATATTCTGTACTTAAATTGCACACCTTCACCTGCATGTAATTTCAAAGATGTGATTGAATAAAAAAACATTCCGAGAAAGTATTATTGGAACTGTAGGTGTCTCTTCAGAGTGCTGAGCAGGATTGAAGGATCATAGGACATTAAAAGTGACAACGTCAGGAAAGTCAGGAACGACAATGGAATAATTTCATTGTAGTGTTATTAATGTCTTTGTCATGACAATCGTTTCAGTAGTTCAGTCAAACCCTAATTAAAACCAGAAAGATGTGTGATTTATTTTGATATTAAAGCTTAATATTCATTTTGAATTATTAAGCTTTATTGTAATGAAGGGAGAGATGCAAAAACAAAATGTGCAAGTGAGTAAGCAAGTAAGGTGATGTTATTCACATGTACTGTAGGTGGAAGTGCTTGAGTTTAGGGTTTGACCTCCTCCAAACCCTTTGATTTAAACTCCTTTTTAAAATGGTGCTGAATTAAGATTTAGATTTAAAATGAATATTTCCATGATCTGAATTAGTGAACTCTACTGAGGAAATCATCTTGTTGAGGAGAACATCAGCCCACCCATAATGACAGGACTGTCCGAACCCCCAAAAGAAACCATAGAGATGCCATAATGCTGAGGAGGAATTCATAAATTACAAAAACTAAAGACAGACTATGAACACACGGTTATGAGTTGCACAGCTTATGAAGTCAGTGCTGGAAGTACTGGAGTTGGGCTTCTTTTGGGCATTCATGGTCTGTCTTTGGTGAGAGCAACATTCAGAATGTGGAAAATAACATACAAGTGACTAAGTGAAGAACAGCATATTTCTACACAGGTAGGTGGAGGTGGGCGAGATTAGGGTTTGCCTCCTCCCAAACTCCCAAACAGTTATTAAAATTTGACAGGAAAGTCAGGGACTGCATATCCACAATTAAGAAACTTTTTGTACAGAAATTTCTCACCCACTCCAGAAAACCTACAGTACACTATGCTTTCTTGTAAGTGACAAGCAGATAATACGTTGTTCATCAGTGTCAATGCTAGCTTGCTGACTGCTTCATAGGTGACACAAAATACTTCTGAGATTCTTTTTGTATAATCTAAGTTGGAATTTCAATCAAACTGAAAAGAATTAGCTAAATGAATTTGAGTCAGTTCATTTCCAATCACTTGGAAAGTGAATAGAAGAATGGTTAGAGAACCCCACCCCCACCCCCCGGTATACAGCAGTTGTGTCACCACTTTATATCAGCTGTTAATGTACACTTCACCCTGAGTTGGGATCAGGTTTTTGATAATTCTGTCCCATATGAATTTAAGATCATTAAAATACAAATTTGGTTTC